AAAAACACTGAGGTAATATGCCGGACTGTTCATCTAATACGAATTAATAAGCCAGTTCTGGAATTTTTAACTCAAAAGATGGTGGTAACATTCCTGAAATATGCATTTTTTCACGAGCTTGCTACGTGGCTGGAGGCTTAAGCAAATCCAGGGTCACAAAACAGCTTCTTACACAAACACTCTTTTTAATTAACAGTTTTCAAAATATTTAAAGAGTTTTTTTTTTCACTTTCCCTTTCTTTGAAAATTGTATTGTTCTTATTGTAACCACATACGGTGTCACCTGCCTCAGATGACAACAGACAATAAAACTGGCCCAGCAAAATTTGCCTTTAGCTCCCTCTGAGTTTGCTCAAGCAAACAAAACGCAATTCCCACGTCCCCGTTGTTCAACCAAATTTCATGTAGGGAGAGTATTCTGCAGCTTCTTTCTTCCGCGTCACAATATGCCTCAGGAACATTTCCGCAGCAATGGGAAACGCGTTCCCGAAGTAATATGCCCCTCCTGTGCCTGTATCAGCTCGTTTATGCAGCTTCTGACTGGCAGGAACACGAGTGTCCCAAGCTTTCTGCTATTCTAAGTGATGCAAATATTGCACATGCTGTTTTTTATTTGTATGCAAGCATAAGCACAGAATCAATTCCCAGAGGTGGGTGAGTGGGTAAAGAATAAATGCCTTTGTGAATTTTATGTTTCTCGGTCGCTCCCAGAAGATTATATCCTCCTGTACTTCCGCCAGAAAGGTGGGTAAAGGCTCCGCAGAGCCTGGCTGTGCCTTATTCGCCACCAGCTTCTCGGGGTGGCGAGGCGCCCTCTGGCTTAGGCCGTTTGCTTCATGGTATTTACTGTCGCTACGTGAAATCAAGTTCCCTGTACTTATATGTACTATTTGGACTGTCTACAATATGCACTCAGTTTTCACACTAGTATCTAAGGGCTCATCAGGCGATGGCCAGCGAGTCCTTCTGATGGCCACTGCAAAGCTGCCCGCCCTCCGTGTGTCTCTGATCCCATGTTTCTTTGCCCCCGCGAGGTGCCTGCCTCTCCCGCAGGGTGCCCTTCTCCTCCTCGGTGTTGAGTCGTGGTCCGAAAGGCAGTAAGAGGAAGCACCACCTAGTGAGGTGGGATCTAGGCCACTCGGCTGGAGTTTAAGTCTCAAGGTCATCTCATGCCGGGAAATGATGTTGGCATCGACCAGCAGCTTAACAAGGTTCTGCCCTTCAGGAAAAGAGCGGGGGGGCGGGGGGGATAGGGGGGCTGGTGATGTAACGGCAGGGCTGCTTTTGGGGTTCTGGAGCATGTTTACCCAGCTCTGCCCCCCACGTCCTAGACAGCCTGGTTGCTGGGGTCCAGGGTGAGAAGCTGTGGTGGGCCTCACCCCCCGGTCCAGACGCAGCAGCTCTTGCTGACACTGTTCTCTAGAACCTTCCTGCAGCTCTGGCCAATCCCGGATCCTCCAGCCCACCCACCCGGAGCCCACAGGGGGCAGAGGGTGGGGATGTCGGGGTCTCGCTCTAGGGTGGCAGGTGTGACTTCGAGTGACACAGTTGGGGTGGAGCCAGCGTCGAAGGGGACCTGCCTCCTGACAGGGTGACACCCGCCCCCACTGTGACGACAAGGTTTGGGGGGGCCGATGGGAGAAAAGCAGCCCCCGAGGGAGACAGCCTCACTCGCACACACAGCTCTGAGGGGGACGCACCTCCCAAAGCAAGGGCCTCGGGTCCCTCCCAAAGGGCCCCGGGGTCTCTGCCACCACCTCCCGCAGCCGGGAGTGATGTCACCATCCCCTTGTCTGATGCCCCTGAGGGAGCAGCTGTTCCAGTGGTTTTTCCCAGACCTGAGGGGCGGGCCCATGGGAGGGGCCGTTTTTGTAGAAAGCTGTAACATTGTGGGGACAGGGGGCCACGGTGATTCAACCTCACGGGACACCTTTACAAAAACCTCCCCCGCCCGGCCGAGGGCCCCCTCCCCAGCCACAGCCCCGAGGGTGGGCTGGGCAGGACCCCGCCCCTCCCTGCCCCTCAAGCCAGGCCTGGACGAGGGCAGGCCCCAGGGAACCAGAGCGAACAGAGAGCAGCAGCGGATTGTGTGACCTCAGGGTCTCGAGAAGGCCAAGGGGACCCCACCAGGTCCCCTCTGAGCAGCCCCACCAGGCCCAGGGCAAGACCAGCAGAAGGCGGATGGGGCGACCCCTTCTAGAAGGAGGAGGGTCTGGCTCTCCCCTCCATGGATGCAGCCGCAGGTTCTGGGGTGCTGCTCACCCCCCACCCTATGACCTTTTGATCGATCATCAGAGACTCTCCAGAAGGGGCGCGGGGCCCTCTGGGAGGACCTGGATTTGACCCTCACGAGCCCGGAGCCGGGCCGGTCTGCACCGTGTCCGAGCCGCCCCGGAGGGCCCCCCGACACCAGCCGGGGCCCCCTCCGCACACACCCCGCTCTTTTCCTCCCGCCACGGGCCACTGTGCCAACACCGAGGTCTTCTTCGGAGCAGGCACCAGACTCACCGTCGTAGGTAACCCCACGGGGCTCGGGCTGCAGGGTTGGGGCGAGGGGTGCAGGGCCCCTTTTGGCGTGGGAGACCCCTGCTGTGCTTCCTATGACTACACCTTCGGCGCAGGCACCAAGCTGACCGTCATAGGTGAGGCCCGGGGGCTCCCTGGGGCCCAGGCGGGAGGACTCGACCTCGGGAAACCGGGGAGGGTGGACGGCCCCGCTCGGCTGGGGGGTGGCTTCAAAACTCACCTCCTCCTGGGGTGGAGGTTGGGGGTCCCTGTGAGGGCAGACCCACCCAGACCCGCAGTCTTCTGAGAGTTCCACACGGAGCCCAGCTGGGTAGGGCAGGAAGGGAAAGGACACGAAGTGACCCCCCAAGGGGGGTGGCCGATAAGGGGGAGTCTAGGTGACTCGGGGACCTGCCGCTCGCTCTGTCTGGGCTTCTGATCGTCCTTGCTCTGGATTTCATAGCTGGCCACACTGTGTCCTCCCAGCTGGGGGCCTAGGCAAGGTCTGGGCAGGCTGCGGGGTGCTTGAAGTGGGGTTGGTGGCTCGGTGAGGGACCCCCAACCTCTCCCTGCCTCCCCACTGTTCTCAGCAGACAGGGCAGGTTTTGAACTGGAGCCTGGAGGCTGTGCCCTGGGAGTAGCCTCCCTCTCGAGGGAGGGGTGCTGGCCAGCTGAGATCAGTGAGTGAGTGGGGGGCCTGGGGCGCCCATCGGGGTGTGCCAGGACCCACACGGAGTCTCTGCCTTGGGTGCTGCCGTGAAAGTTGAGTTCATCAGGACGGTCTGAACTCTTGCCTGGTGCGGACAGCCGGGGACAGCGGCTGCCTCGTTCTCAAGCTGGTGCACCCTAAACCTTGTTTGACGGGTCCCCTTTGGTGCAGAGCCCTGAGTCCAGAGGCCGGCCAGCTCAGTGTCCACGCCCCGCAGCCATGGAGGAGACCCTGACCCAGCCACTGGTCCCGGAAGGCCCCTTGCTGGCACAGAAAGGGGATGGCCACAGGAGGCACAGGGTCACCCGCCCCCCACCATTACCTGGAGCCACGGCCCCGCTAAGCCAGGATAGGGCGAGCTGGTGGGGACCAGGCCCAGGGGACGGGCATGGCCGGGCCATTTTCTACCAGGCTGTAATGTTGTGTAACAACGATCGCCTGTTTTTCGGCGCCGGCACCAAACTCTCTGTGTTGGGTGAGTGACGGGCGCCAGGGCCGCTGTATGATCACGCAGACCATGGGGCAGGACCCTTGGACAGGGGCGTGGGGGAGGCGGCAGGTCCAGGCCCCCAGTTGGGTGGGAGCCATCCCTGGGGCCCCCTTGCACGCCCTTGTCTCACTGTGGACCAACCAGCCGCTGCACTTCGGGTCTGGGACGCGGCTCTCTGTCCTAGGTAAGCGCCGGGCCGGGGAGGTCAGGTCCCCTGGACACAGAGGCCCTGTCCCTCCCGCCAGCCCTGGCCTCGGCGACCTTGGGGCAGTGGCTGAGTTCCTCTCCTCTGGTCTCCAGGCCCCCTCGACCCCTGCTTTCCTCCATCCATCCTTCCTCCTTAGCGGGTGGCCGCATGGCAGCCTGCTCTCTCCGAGGCACCCTGGACCTTGTTCATGAAGGATCTGTTTGGTGCAGAGCCCCGCCCGGGCTGGGACAGCGAGCCGCTGCTCCCGGGGTGGGGTGCGCTAGGCTGGGGGGCTCAGGCGGTTTCGCCACAGCCCTCCTCAGCTGTGCTCCTACAATTCGCCGCTCTCCTTCGGCCTGGGCAGCAGGCTCACCGTGACAGGTACTGGGGCCCTCCCGCTTGGAGGAGCTGTTTGGCCAGTGGTCAGTTCCCGGGCGGGCAGTGGGGCTCAGGGGTGGTGGGGTTCCCTCCTGGGGCTCATCCCCTCACCCCATCCTGCCCCAGCCCCCCAGCCCAGCCTCTGGTTACCGCCCGCTCCTGCTGCTCGGTGCTCTGTGCCCTGGTCTCTCTCCCTGTCCTCTGCCGTGTAGGGCTGTGAGGATTCAGGGTCTTTCCCACTCCAGCGTGGGGTTCAGCACTTGCCTCCATCGCCCCCTTCTCTGTCTCAGCCGTGTGTCTTCCTGAGGTGGTTTGAGGCTCCGGAGTCAGCTAGCCGGGGGGTGGCTTGAGGGGTGCTGCCGACCCTGTTACCACCACGGAGCTGTCGGGGGCCCCTATGGGACACTGCTTTGTGGGGCTCAGACGCTTTGTGGGGGCCAGAGGAGAAAGTCTGAACAAACCGTTACAACTGGAAGCTTAAACCGTCTCAGCCACAAAAAGGTGTACAGAAGATAAACAGTGGGAGGCCCCGTTTTGTCACAGCCAGATCTGAGCGGGGACAGAGGAGAAGGGCCCCCCCCCCAGGCACTGTCTGCAGTCACCCAGCTCTGCAGGACAGGACAGGGCTGGCTGAGGAGGGGGCAGCGAGGGGCGGGGTCTGGGCTGGGGACAGATGGGGGAGACACAGGACAGAGGAGCTGCTGGGTGGGGGCAGGGGGCTCCCCGTGGCACAGGGGACCCCTGCTGGCAGGGAAAACTGGTCAGCTCTAGTCTCTGGGATTCAAAATGGCTGGCTGGTGGGCGGGGGGCTGGAGGAACTCGGGAGAGCAGCACATCATGGCTGGCCTTCTCCGACCCTGTGGCTCCATCTTCCATCCAAAACATTTCCCGGATCTGGACCAACTGGAGGCCCCGGGCTGGCACATGTCCACGCCAGACACTCATTCCCCTGGTCCAAACAGAACCAAATCCAGAGGCCGGAAACCTCTGGCAAAAGCAGTGTCCCTGAAAGATGGCCGCGGCTCGGACACGGCCCCAGGGCCCTGCCGCCCCAGGCGGGTGACAGGCCCAGCAGCTGGCCATGTGAGCCCTCCGGGCAGATGGCGCTGGGCTTAGGGCCCCCACCCAGCTGGGCGGCTGGTCAGACGCAGAGCTCAGCCGCCACTGGGAGTCGGAAGGCAGGAGGGCAGCTGGTGCGGAAGGCAGAACGCTCAACCCGCAAGCCGGGTTGTCCACGGGATTCTGGGGGTGCAGGGTGATGGTGCACACGGCCCAGGCCAGGGTGCCCCCAAAGGTGCAAGCAGCCAGAGTGTAGGGCTGCTCCCAGCAGGTCACACGGGGGAAGAAAGGGTGTGAGCTGAGCATGGGGAGCAGGAAAACACGGCCAGAAAAGCGCCTCCGTGCGCCTGAGGCCAGCGCCGGGCACTTCGCAACACAGGGACCCCTAGCCCGGAAGCCACTCTAGGCCCCAGGGTCCCATGGCTGAGACTCTCTGTCCCCACGTCAGGCTTAGTCAAGTCGGTGCAGTCGCCTCTGAGTGTGCAAGACCACAGAGTCCCTCTCCGCACCAGAGGACTCTGGCTGAGGGAGGAAGATGTTTTTTCCATTAACAATGAAGCCAGGGTCCCAGAGGAGGGGTCTTTTCCAAAAGCACCCAGAAAATCGGACATAGGGTCACTGTAGCAAAGTGGGGAGACAGTGGGCAGTGGACGTCCAGGGAACCCAAGAGGGCAGCAGCCAGGCTGGGGGGAATAACTAGGGCCATGAGGTACTAAGTCCTCACGGGCCCCGTCCCACAAGCTGTGTCTGCCCGCGCGGAGACACGCACACTCACACACACACGCACTCTCCCTGGGCCCTGCCAAGCCCCAGCCCTCAGCCCAGCTGCGCCCTCCCCTCCCTCCAGACGACCTGCGTAAGGTCAAGGTGCCCACGGTCAACGTGTTCGAGCCCTCTGAAGCAGAGATCTTGCACACCCAGAAGGCCACGCTCGTGTGCCTGGCCACCGGCTTCTACCCCGACCACGTGGAGCTGAGCTGGTGGGTGAACGAGAAGGAGGTCACCAGCGGGGTCAGCACGGACCCCCAGCCCTACCAGCAAGACTCCAGCTACTCTCTGAGCAGCCGGCTCAGGGTCTCTGCCAGCTTCTGGCACAACCCGCACCGCCAGTTCCGCTGCCAGGCCCACTTCCATGGCCTCGGGAGGGAGGATGAATGGGACGAAAAAGACGGACCCAAACCTGTCTCCCAGATCATCAGCGCCCAGGTCTCAGGCCGAGCAGGTGAGGGGCTGTGAGGGCGGTGACCAGGACGTCAGCCCAGAGGCCTGGAGGCCCAGGCGGCAGCCCAGACGCGGCCCTGGGCCACGTCCCCCCCAGACACCCTACCCCGGAGCCCGGCAGCTGGGTCCCCCGAGACTGCCTGCAGGCCTCAGCACCTGACGGGGCGCCCTCACTGGCCCGTCCCTCAGGTCCTAACACTGAGCCCAGACACCGGGCACGAGGCGGCCACACACGGCTGTCGAGGAGCTGACCGCACGCCGGCCTGCACTGTCCAGGCCGCTCGGCCTCTGGCTTCAGGGCTCTGGGGTGGGCTCCGCCCTCGAGCCCTGGCGTCCGCCTCACCCGTGTCCCCCTTTTTCTTTCAGGCTGTGGCCTCAACTCAGGTGAGTGGCCTCCTTCTCCATCCCATGCCTCTGGGCCAGAGGCCGCCCCTGGGCCTGGGGTGGGCTGGGCACAGGTGTTGCTCAGGGTCCTACCTGCTCCCCTCCCCCAGCATCCTACCAGCAGGGGCTCCAGTCTGCCACCCTCCTCTACGAGATCCTGCTGGGGAAGGCCACCCTGTACGCCGTGCTGGTCAGCGTCCTGGTGCTGATGACCATGGTGAGGACGGGCGGGCAGGGACTGCCCCGCCTCCTCTCAATCCCTGCCACTCCAGGCTCCCGGTGACTCCCCAACTTCCTCTTCTTCAGGTCAAAAGAAAGGACTCCTGAGCAAGCTTCGCTTCCCGCCAGCGCTTCTGGAGAGCTTTCTCCTGTCTCCACGCCTTCCTCCTGGTGGGAACACAGGGGACCCTCACAGCCGAAACCCCGCCCTGGGGCGCCCTTGCATGCCTGGTTAACTGAACCAATAAAAGTCATTTGTTCTGGTTGGCTCTGCCTTGTGAGTGTCCAGAGCGCGCAACTATGGTGTCTGACGGTCCCATCAGACTAGAACAAGCGAGGACGGTGCCGTCCCCTCAGTAATGGGGCCCCTGCAAGCAGTTGGCACTGCTCCCCCTTGGCAGGGAAGGCGGCCGTGGGATGCGGGAAGCCTCCTGCAGAATTGACCCAAGAAATGGAGGTGTTGACCCTTGGAATGACCTGCCCTGCTGGCAGAAAGGTGCTCTGGGTGGGAGCCAACCCATAGGAGTGTCCGCTGGCCTGCGGCCCTCCCTGCTAACAGGCTCGGTCTCCTGTGTCTCAGCTGTCCCTTCTGTGTGTCCCTGGAACACCGAGCACTGCTTGTCTCCGATCATTCAGAGGTTTCCCAGCTGAGAAGAGAACACACAGACTCAGTTTTATTCTTAGCAGCAGATGACTTTTTCAGTTGAAGTCACAAAACTGCTTATACATTTGTAAATGAGAATTGGTGGTGTCCAGAAGGGTACAGTCCTGTTCTAAGGTCCAGATTCACCTTCGTGGGCCTCCCTGGTGGCGCAACAGGTCAAAGTGTGGCACTGTGAAGCTGTCGGCAGCCGCCGCAGCACGAGTTCGATCCCCGGCCAGGGAGTGACCCACATGGCGCCGCAGACCTCGTCTGTCCCCCTGCTGCTCCTCTCAGCAGTGGATTTCAGTAGATCTGCCTGTTCCGCTCCCCACTCTGTCTCTGGTGAATCATCTTAACCCCACTCCTCTGGCCTGTACCCCAGTTCTTCTATGCATAAATAAATAAACCTTAAAAAAAAAATTCACGGTCATGCTCTTTCTAGAATTCCCTCCAAAATACTTTGTTCTCAGTGTAACCGTGGAGCCCAGAGTGCTTCAGACGGCACGTAAGAGCATCCTCACCGCCTTGTTCCACACCATCACTCCCCTAACCCCGAGCTACTTGCTCCCGCAGCCCTGGGCACCCCTCTTCCTAGAACGGCGTAGCTTCCAACACCACTCACCCCTAAAGAGTCAGCACAGCTGCCCCTCAAAGACGCCCCGTGCCCCGTCCGCTGGACTGTGCACACCCGCTGCATCCAGCTCTCCCGGGACCTCATGCCCACCTTCTGCGGCACCCACCACGCCTGATGGAGACCACCTCCCACCCGTCCCACCGCCCCACTGGGCTGTCCACAACTAGATGGCAAGGACGTGTCCATCACAGGTTCCCGGGACATGGCACAGCACACACGACTCTGAGTGAGTGAATGAACCATCGTGACCCAACTCAGCCGCCGAGCTGGCTCGGACCGACCCGAAGTCACGAGCTACCCTCTCCTCACTTGTCTGACCCAGCACATGCGTGTACTGAGACGCGCACACACACACGCACAGATACACACGTGCGTATCCGTGCACGGGTATGAAGCACGTGCAGACTGAGCTGCCCACGGGGCCTGGAGCCTGGCATGCTTTGCTAACCTTCAGGAAGATAAAACTATCCACGTCCCGTGAAGCTCACTGCTCACCGGGAACGGTCACGGATGCCAAAGGCTGAACTAGGGGGAAGGCTGATGTAGCGGCGTCTCGGGGAGGCGGGCAGAGGTGAGCCCTCGACCTCCGAGCGGGTTCCCCGGGAAGGAGGCAGAGGAGGGGCCACCCCTTGGAGGGGAGCTGTGGTCTCAGTGCCCGAGCCCAGGACTGTGCCTGCAGGTGCCAGTTCAGATAGGCATGGCCCTGGGTGGAGTGGAAGGGGCAGGTCAGCAGATGCCACCCCCAGGGGGGTGGGCACCCTCCAAAGGCCTGGCATGGGCACAGGCAGATGGATGCGTCAAGGACTACGTTGGGGGGGATGGGAGGCCCCGTGGGGGTGGGGGTGATGGGGAATCTCATTGGTTCAAGCTGTTTGTCCCCGGCCCTGCAAGGTGCCGTCACCTGCTTCATCCTCCCTGCCCCTCCCACCCGCCCCACTATAAATGCCAGTCTGTGCAGGTGGGCACAGTGAGTTCTGCGGGGATCCCTGGCGACAGAGACCTCCTCAGGGAGGCGGCTGCTCTAGGGGGGCTGTGTCACCCCCACCCCAGCACAAGCGTCCCCACCTCCCCAAGCCCCTCCCCACTTCCAGGACAGTCTGACTTGGTGTTACCCAGCCCCCCTCAATCAGACCAAACCCTGCCACCTGTGCTTCCTGCCCAGTGGTTGGGGGAGGGGGGCGAACAGGGAAGACATTTTTGTATCATGGTGTAACATTGTGGGGACTGGGGGGGGGCACAATGGTTCAGGCAAAGGAGGTGCCTTTACAAAAAGCCCTGCCTGGGAGCCCGTCTTTCTGGCACTGGGAACGCAGCTCTGATGGGGACCTCGGCTGGGGGATCTCTGGAGCAGGATCTGGTGTGCCCTGGCAGGGAGCTGGGCTGGGCAAAGCCCCCTGCACCCCCCAGCTTGCACCCAGCTCCCCCAGGCACTAAGTGGGAGCAGTAGCAGCGCTTCTCAGAAAACACGCCTCTGACAAAGTGCTATCCATCCGTATTTCCATTACACTCTCAGTACAACTTGGTGGGCAGCCGCCTCTTGGGTCTTCAGGTGGAAACTCTGAGGTCCCAGGGGGTTGCAGGTCCTACACAGAGCGTGGCAAAGTCTAGCCCGGACACCTCCCAATTCCAGCCCAATGGTGACCACCATTGCCCCTGCAGCCCCCAAGTCCCCTGCGTGTTCCCCATGAGAATTGTCCTCTGCAAACTGGGGTCACCCCTGCATTGCTTCCAAGCCTATGTCCAGCTAATTGTGGGGGTGGGCCGAGCAGGGGAGGGAGGGAGCAGGCGCTGTGCACTCAGCAGGCCCCT